ACATAATGGGCAGCGATCACCTGATAGATACGTGCACATATCGTTCAAATGTGAAATATAGAATAAATTAATTTGATTGGTAAACCAAATTCAGACTTTACGTTTCAATCTCAAATGGTAATGCATGGAATTTACGGAAAAGCTCAACTAAATAACAGCGCCAATATGTGGGGGGCGTGGTGGCTTTGGCGATTGGTGCGCCAGTCAATCTACCCCCACAGCCAATCACGGGGTGTTGGCGGTGGGTGCTTGAGCACCTGCCCCTTTTCCCCTTGATGCCCAAAGTATCCTTTTGTCAAGGCTTGTTTTTGTAATTAAACACCCTTTTGTGAGGGCCTGTCCAATCCAACTATTAGTAATATTAATTAATAATAATTTTGCCGTAAATAAAATGATCCACATGATGACCTTTCACCTGACGATCTCATCCGGGACGATCCCTCACATTAATAATTTAGAGCACTACACGTCAGCGGAGCGGTGTGCTTGTATACTTATATTATTAAATTATTATTATTTTACAAGAACGACGTGAAGAGAGCATGTACAGCTGTTGTTTATATTGCTGTGTGTAGCCTGTGGAAGTAATGCTAGCTGCAGCAAGGGGCTATAATATTTGTGTTCAATATTTTCTTAATGCCAATTTTATGATTGGTTTAAAAAGGCTACTACGAACACCTTTTTCTCTTTTTTATCACAGAATAAGGCAGAAAATATATTTTATAGTTTCTATACTAAATGATATGTCAATCAGTACTGTCTGCATTATTCATATAGTTTAGGCTATTACCTGGAGATAACTTGAAAAACACACATAAACCATATATTTTCGCAATCGTGTGTTTATTGTCTTCACGTTTCATTAGTAAAAACGTTTATGCTTTTTATTCAGCTCAGCTACAGAGATAACTGGATGAGCTTTTGTCCATATTAGGGATTTCCTGCACGTCATCATAAGTTATTACTTCTATGAGACTGTTTTGGACTTTCTGCACGAGAGCACCCTCTGACTTAGAGTATGAATGAAACATGCACTGCATGAGAGTGTTCAACGCTCCCGATGTTCACATCTCCTCATTTTGGATACGAATAAAACGTCAGGTCATGCATAGACTATCGATACTGTTTCTTTGAATTTAAATCTAGATTTAAATCTAAAAAACTCTACGTGAACACACCTGCCCGAATAACATTTGATAAAAATTAAATATTTATTAAATATAAAAAATGCAGCTAACGTAGTTCTACACACAGCAATATAATCAAAGGTGCCTGTTCTCTTTTCTTTCGTTCTTGCTGTTTGATTGGGAAAAGTTTAAAGGGCGTCGAGGGGTCTTGTCTTTTTCATGTTATCTGACTAAAAACTTTTCATACCTTGAACTATTATTATTACAGTATTTATTTTAAAAAATGCCTTAAAAATAATTATCACAACACTGGTAAAACAGGCTTATACTGATTTTCTCATCCTCTGAATTATACTTATCAATCCTGTTTTTATAATTTTAGAATTGATATAGTAGTGAAGTGACATGTGCCCAAGTATGGTGACCCATACTTGGAATTAGTGCTCTACATTTATCCTATCCAAAGTGCACACACACAGCAGTGAACACACACCGTGAACACACACCCGGAGCAGTGGGCAGCCATTTATTGCTCCGGCGCCCGGGTAGCAGTTGGGGGTTCGGTGCCTTGCTCAAGGGCACCTCAGTCGTGGTATTGAAGGTGGGAGAGAGCGCTGTACATTCACTCCCCCCACCTACAATCCCTGCCGGTACGAGACTCGAACCCGCGCAACCTTGGGTTACGAGTCCGACTCTCCAACCATTAGGCCACGACTTCCCCCAAATAATCATCATCATTCAAAAAATGAATAAATTCAGAACAGGATTAGAATAGAATTCTATTTTAAATAAGACAGACATTTTTTTTTCTACAACAGCAACAGTAGTGTTTACAACAGCAAAACAACCATACCCTGTAAACTCAATAATAATAATAATATAATTCAGTTTCTAATTCCAGAGTAATTAAGAGGTGCAAAGAAAAAAAAATTAAAATTTTAAACTTAAAATGGTATTTTCTGTTCTGTGTTTCTTTTTCAAAACTGCGTCATGGCATTTGCTGCTGTATCAATACAGAAGCATCAATTTCGATACACGTATCAGCAAGGAGCACAGCCCTATTTAAAGCCGTGTTCCATGTGCCCCTTTTATACTTTGAGCACCTGCCCCTCCAAAGGACTCTGCACGGCCCTGCTTCAGTCTGGACTCCACTGATGGTCAGAGTGAAATCTCTTCCAGTTTTTGCTGATCCACTGCCACTGAATCTAGATGGAGTTCCTGACTTGAGGATGTTTATGCATTTTATGACGAGTTTCTCCAGGTTTCTTCTGATACCAGGTTAATTGGGTGTCATGTATTATTGCATTTATACAACACTCTATTGTAGTTGTTTGACCCTGTTGGACAGTTTTAACTTTAGCTTGAGTCAAAGTGACTCCCCTTGGACTCTGAAGAAGATAAAATAAAATAAATTAGTGTTTAATACTACATCATATAATTTTACAAGAACACCAGCACCAGTGTGACATTGTTTATGACTTACCTTGGATAAAAACTGCAATGGTCCAGATGAGGATGATGATGTTGTTCATTGTTGTTGTTGTGTCTTGTGTGATGATGAAGATTCTGTTCTGTTCTGCTCTCAGTCATGAAGTGTTAAACTCACAGCACTATAAACACTCTCAGAGCACTGAAGCATGTGCTGACAATGCAAAGAAGTGGGCAGGATTTACTACAGCATGAGCTGCTTACATGTATCTCTGCTTTGCTGCTATCTTATGTACACTGCATAATGGAAGACGCACCCTGCGCGAACAGCCAGTGTGCATTTACTGATAAATTGTACTGTATATAGAGATGAGTTTAGTATGTGCAAAATAATGATGCATCATCCAATTTATCATTAGAGGAAACCAACAGAAAAGTTCAATACCAAATTGATTTTTACAAAATTTAGAATATAATGTAAACTACAGCAACAACATCAAAATAGCTCTGGTTCCTCAATGTTAGAATTCACAGACAAGATAAATATTTTGATTCAATATTAGATATCAATGTTGATTCAACACTGAAACAATGACATGCTGCTATCTGCGAAATCTTTTCAGGTGGCCTTTTTTTCCATCACTTTATAAAAATCATCAAAATAATTTCATGTGAGTTTAGTTTGAAGCTGCATTTTTCCCCCTGTGCATCTTAATAACGGAGCTGTGTATAAAATATAATTATAAGAAACTCCATGATAAAAGAGGTCAAAGGTCACCTCAGATCAGCGGTGAGGCCAGAAATCTCCAAGGAGATTAACTTTGGTGAAATAGAGTGGACTTCTATTCTGACTCCTTTTAAAGCTATTTTTTAACTGTAACTCTTTCGAAAATGCAGTACTGTCTGAACAAAACAATTCACTAAAAAGAATAGGACTTCAGTTACAAATAGGGCTGTTTAGGACAAAGCAATTCAGTAGAATAAACTGACTTACGAATACTCATCGTTACATATGAGACAGAGATAAGACAGAGATATTACTTATTGGACCAAAAGACAGTACACAGAATCTCGTGGATTACAATTTGCAACTAGACGGATGTACGGTTACTTCCTCTACAGTCAAAAATCTGGGTGTTATATTAGATAGCATTTATTATTTGCATTATTTCCTATCAGTGTTTTGTAGAACTGTGCAATGTTCATAAATACAGTTTAAATTAAAGTCTGTTTTTGTTATTGATAAGGCAGTTATCATTTGGCACACAAAATATATAACAAAGGTTCTGTGCTGTTGTTATCTGTCTGCAGTGCATAGGTTTGTGACGGTCGTATTGAAGCCCGGTGGCGTCTCTAGCAGTGACTGTGATGTGCTCGCTGTTCATGCTCTACAAACTCCATCTAGCTCCTGCTCATGAAAAAAACTTCCTCTCTCTCCACCTCAGCCTCCCAAAATCACACTGCTGGTGTTAACGAAATACTGGACTAGACTTTCAAACCTTTTCTTTTTCATGATTTCATGCAGGTCTCCATTACTGTATATTAATGTTATATACAGTAGTGCTTCCAGATCTATACTGCTACTGCATCGCTACAACACAAAGATGAGGGATGAGCAGAAGTCTTGTGTAATGTGAGCAGCAGTGATTCATGTAGTCAGAGAGTTGTTGTGTGATGAAGGCAAGGCTTAATCTGAACTTTGAGGCCATTCCCCAAACTTTAACGATGGCCTGATGCAACAAAACATCCTCAAACCAACACATCTCAACTGTGCTGGACTGCTGGGATGAGGTTCTTCTTATGCATGGAAGTGTTTGGTTTCTGCTAAACATAACAGTAAGTCTTGAGGAACATCCAGGTTCTTCTTATCAAATGTGACGCATCAAATGTGTTTTTGATCTTACAGCTCGACTCCATGCTGCTGCACAGGCACCATATATGTGTTTTGATTCTTTGTATTTTAATTTTTAAATATTGTAAATGTTAATTCAGTTTTTGACTGCAACTCTGTGGACAATGGATGATATTTTGGGATGCTGAGCATCAAGCCTTTATTCTGTTCAGCCTCTATAGTGGTTAAACTAACAGCTACACAAGTCAAAGACCACTTTGTACAAGCCAGAGAAAATGGTCCTTAAAAATGTTACAGTATTTGATTTTAAAATATAATAAATGTTAATTCAGTTTTTGACTGCAATGCTGTGGACAGTGGATGATTTTTTGGGTTGTGAAAAAAGGCTTGATCCTTTTTTGTTCATCCATCATAGTGATTAACTTAACCAGTACAGATTTAATTCATTATTAGATAGATAGAGTTCTGGATTGCAATATAGTGATCTACAAACAAGAGTGATTGAGATTCATCCATCAGCAGCTGCAGTATCTCTCAGCTGTATCAGTGCAGTCACTGTGACTCTGACTGACGGAGGTTTTTGTTCGACTCTATCACTGTGTGAACACCCAGCTATTACTGATATAGTGTTCACTCTGACAGTAATAATCTCCTGTATCTTCAGTCTGGACTCCACGGATGGTCAGAGAGAAATCACTGTTAGATCCACTGCCACTGAATCTAGATGGAGTTCCAGTGTTACGGCTTGTTGCACGATATATGAGGAGTTTAGGAGCTTCTCCAGGTTTCTATAAATACCAGGATAAACGATCACCACCACACACTCTACTGCTGGTTTTACAGTTTATTCTGACTTGTCCTGGTTGCGTAAGTCTCTTAATTAGCTTCTTGTTTATTAAGCTGTTGTAAAAAATCAATATCACATTTGTAATCATAGTAATTTTTGGAGAAAAAGAACAAACGTGATGTCCGCACACAGATATAACTGCTCCATAAAAATATTTATTGCAACGTTTCGACCATCCGGTGGATTTTTGGAGAAATACGACACTCTTCGTGTGAAATTGATTAACTATATGAAGTGGTATAAATATATACATTTTCTGCCCCCATGTCTTAAATTTGTGATCATTCTAAATGCATTTTAATAGACTAAATCATGCAGTGAAAGAATTCACTCTAAATGCACACACTCACTAGTCTAGACTTCACGTAATGTACGCGTGCACTCTGTAGGGCTCTTTTGAATGGTTTTTGCAAAATACTCGATAATGTCAAATCGCACATCGTTAAAACAATAATTATGATATTATCGCAGACGATACAGTATATATTGCACACCCCTACCGCTGAGGCATCTCAGATGAGAAGATCTGTTATCTTGGCTTTTTATCATTGCAGCACCAAAGCAGAATTAATATGAGGTAATTATTTTGCAACTTCTGTTATTGGAAAAATACCGAGATCCGGACCTCTGTGACCTCAATGGTGGGTACGGGGCTGGGAACCAGTTTGACACGAGAGTGAAAACTGAGATGATATTCCTATTTATCGCTTATAATAAATTATTTTGTGTGCAATTCAATCTTAAAAATGTATTGCACTCTTGATGTTTGGCTGTCAATCTGTCAGTATTCTGTTGTGATTTAGAGAGTTAAATGTTCAGTTTTTGAGGTGTTTAATGATGGTTTGGTGGTCTGGAGGTTTTGTTTGTTGGAGAATTATCAGATTAATATTAATCTAATTAATATTTACAGAAGTCAAAATAAAAGCACAGATTGGTGAAATATATATATGAAAGGAACAACGTATAAGAATTAAAAATGATGTATATTTCAAATTTTAAAGGAATTAATTGTCTTTATGAAAGCTTTGCTACAAACCTTGAGAAAACAGTGTGAGAGTCCAGATGAGGATGATGATGTTGTTCATTGTTGTTGTTGTGTCTTGTGTGATGATGAAGATTGTGTTCTGTTCTGCTCTCAGTCATGAAGTGTTAAACTCACAGCACTATAAACACTCTCATGCAAAGTGTCTCTCTATGTAAATGCTCTTCATACACAGAACAGGCAGCTGTCAGTCTCAGACCTCAGATGAATTTCTTCATGCACGTTCATGTTCTACAAAACATTAGACGCTTTAATACTTAGTGATGAATGTGAACTATAGACATCAGACAGATACTCTCTACAATGAATGTTTGATTATTTTACTGGGTTGATAAAAAACCTAATAATATTAAAGATCACTGGCTCTTTGGGTTTAAGAAAAGCGCATTATAAATAAAGTGTATTATGATTATTATTATTTGTATTATCTGCTCTCAACAGCATATAGATTCATACATGTGAACCAGTTTGAAACGAGAATGAAAACTGAGATGATATTCCCATTTATCTTTTATAATAAATTATTTTGTATGCAATGTCATCTTGTAAATGTATTACACTCTTGATGTTTGGCTGTCAATCCTTCAATATCCTGTTGTGGTTTTTTGAGAGTTAAATGTTTAGACTTTGAAGTGTTTAATGATGGTTTGGTGGTCTGTTTTTTTTTGTTTTGTGGGAGATTTTTTAGATTGATCTTAAACTGATTTATATTTACAGAAGTCAAAATAGAAGCACAGATGGGTGAAATGTTATTTAAATATATAGATACAAAAATTTTAATTTTATTTAATCAAATTGCAGTTAGCAAATAAAATAATATTTTCTTTATGTCTTTGACTCATTTTTGTCTTTTTGAATTTGAAAAGGTCACAGGCCTCATTTCTAAAATGCAGATACGATCGGATCCTACTTCAAAAGTGAGAACAAATTGGGATTTACAAAGGTAAAAAAAAAAGTGAAATGATGTGAAAATGTCCTTAAGTGTACAAAAGAGAATTTGTACAAACTTTTTCCATGCATATATAATCAAAATAATAAAAAATTGTTTATAAAAATTTAAAGAGTAAAGGTAAAAAATAGATAATCACAATATTCATCAACATATGCATTGTGTAAAGTACGTCACTGGAATTAAAGATTTCCTGAATATAAACATGTTTGGATTTTCTTGTTCATGGTGATGAGTGCTGTACTTCTTCTGAACCATGAAAGGGATATTTTGTGGCTGTTCTGTAGGTTGATGCTTTTTGAATTTAAAATGAGCTGAGATTTATAAAGAGTAATGCATTTAGGAACATTTTTTGTGTGTATGGATAGTTTTATAAATTGTTTGTAGGGACATTTCAGAAATTCTACGCAAGTCTTTATAAATGAGGCCCCAGACTTCAAGCTCATATTTTATAATCAAATGGCAATCAAAGAACCATGAAAACACCTGCAGATGAAGGAAATTATGAAACAAGACTGTGTGAGCTGAGATTTATAAAGAGTAATGCATTTAGGAACATTTTTTGTGTATGGATAGTTTTATAAATTGTTTGTAGGGACATTTCAGAAATTCTACGCAAGTCTTTATAAATGAGGCCCCAGACTTCAAGCTCATATTTTATAATCAAATGGCAATCAAAGAACCATGAAAACACCTGCAGATGAAGGAAATTATGAAACAAGACTGTGTAGTCAAATTATGAACCTCAAACATTTCCTAAGATCACTGTTGGTTCTCTGTTTGTTGACTCGGTGTAGTTTTACTGTAATCTTTTAGGACAGTTCTGGAGAACATGGGGCTTCGGGGAAACTTAAAAATGAAATGAATGATGTTGTTCTGTACTTAACTTTTGTAATTTAAGTTATTTGTAAATGAAGCAAACTAATTTCTGTACATTGTTTATTTTTGCAAAGCAAGTTATAATTAGTAAATGACAGAAATTCTTCTATACATTTTGTTTTGTCATCTAAATAACATTTGTAAATGAAAATAAATAGTTTTATACTAAAAGTCCTTTTTACAACTAATTACGAAATAACTTCAATTCAACATCAGAAAAAAAAAATAATTAATTAACAGTACATAAAACAGGTTGGAAAAAACAAACATTTTAGCTTTCATTCAGCTGAGCAGGGAGACCCGGTGGTGCTGCTGGACCTGGATGGGCTGCCACAATAGAGAGCCTGGAGCGGCCTCTGCCAGTGGGGCATCATCTGGTCTCCAGAGTGTGTGTCCAGCACTGGGACGCTCAGGTTTATCCTCCAGTACAGTGGTCTGGTCTGATTTAGGGAAAGAAGGAAAGGACAAATTGTCTAGAGCTATGACAAAGTAATTGGTGGAAGAAATCCTGTCTGTTCACCATGGTCCATTTATGTACATAATGATGAATAATAAAATAAACTTTTATAAACTTTTTCATATGTATCATTGTATTATTAAAGTAAGTTGAAACCCAATACTTAAATTTAAAGTGTAATTCGGTAATTAAGGACTCTGCCTCTGAATTGGAATGCAGCAAAACCAGTTTAACTTACCTGGTCATGGTCTTGGCTAAGCCTGAAATACATCACCCGGCAGCGCTGGGGGTGAAACATCACCCCCATCTCCTCCAGTAAGGTATAATAAATACAGTCAAACTATACTATTCTATACTAACTAACTATTCAGTTTACGTAGTTATTTGAAATTTCATTAACAAATAACATCTCAGGCTGGCAGCTCTCCTCTCGCACCGTTGCTACGTGACAGGAGCGGCAATCACAAACACCTGGTGACGCAATTAGGAAATCTTGCGAAGGCTAGGAACGTCCTTCGAAGGCCGCATCGGCCGCATCCTTCGATGGACGCAGCCTTCAAAGGCTGCAGCCTCCGAATTGGGACACAGCTACTGACCTTCTGAATGTTTGAATCCACTGTCAACGTGATCAAGTAAATGTACGTTTTATAGAACCAAATTTTACGTAAAATATATACGAATTATCATGAGATCATGTTGCCAATGTTGACTCTGTAATGAGACACATTCTGATGTGTGTCCTTCAGTATCTCTGTCACTCACAGCTGTTACTCAACCACACTTGAGGCTGTTTTTTGATTTTGAATGATGAACTAAACCCATCCATGCTGAAGTTGTGTGTGAAAATCAGATGAGAGAATCAGATTAGCCAGACAATTAGTTACTGGAGAGACTCGATCATAAGTGTAGTGAGTCTGTTATAATAATGTACTTGTTTAGGACTGATGATTTTCCTGCTGAACAAAAACTTACTCTGAATGCCTCAAAGCTCCAGTCAAATCTAGACACCAAAACATTATAAAGACAAGGCAAATTTTGGAAAGTTGTTAACAGTTTTGTTTGTTAAGTTTTGATTAACAAGCACCACACATTTTATTTTTCTTCTAGACAATGTGAAATCTAATAAGTGATATACAGTATGATTATATTAGGTATATTGTCACACCCTCTGCCACTTCTTAACTTCACCACCTAATTATCAGTCTAATTAGACTGGCCTATTTAAACCCTGACAGTGGCTGCATCCGAAACCGCCTACTTCTCTACTATATAGTAGGCGAAAAGCAGTAGGCGAGCGAATAAGTATGTCCGAATCCTTAGTATTCATAAAAGAGTAGGCGAGAATTACGTGGATGACGTACTAATTCTCGCGGATGAAACAAGAGAGAAATTCAACAAGAAAAAGAGGAAAACAGGAGATTTAAGCCGGTTTTGCTTATGGATGAAACATTTTGCACATAAAATAAAGTAACAACATATTCAAGAGATAACAATTTGGGTTTTTAGTAATAAATAATAATATATTTAAGGATTAAACTGTGGGTCATATTAGTAGGGTTAAAAATATAAAATTTTAAATCAACCAAAAATGTATTGGTTATACTACAATCACAATAAAAGGGCAGCTGTTTCTTCAACAAGACCACAAAATGAGGAAATTTCATAAACATCAAAATATTTACAGAGAGATCAATTAAACCTGTCGCTCGTATCTGTTGCGCTTGTTATAACGTCGTAGATCACATGATAATGTCAACATGGCGGATGATGCCTGGATCGCATTCATACTTAACGAGATTTGGCTGTAGAGTACCTACTCTTTTAGCGCTCGTTAAGTAAGAACTTAATGAAATTAAGTACCTACTCATTGAGTAGGCGGTTTCGGACGCAGCCAGTGTGAAGTATTGCTTGTTTGACCCTCAAACAAGTGTTTGTGTTTCTCTCTATTTGCCAGGTATGCTATCTCTTTGAAATTAGTTTAGTGGTATTTTTCTTATTCTATGTTTTGTGTTTCATGCTGATCAGTTGTGTAACCAAATTTTAATGTATTCTTCTTTAATTGATGCATTCTCTTGATTGATTGGATTCAGAACAGACTAAAGGCTCATGACTGAGTGGAGCAGTAGGCACGTCATTTGAGACCTTTTGAATTCTGTCTATCGCAGACTTGGCAAGTTGTATTGAAGTGACCTAACAAACTACACTTTTTGTTCTGAGCAAGCAGTAGGTGGCCGGACTTAAAGGTATAGGTTGACTTTGCATGCTCTGATTAAGTTCGGACTGGTGAGTTTGTGATCGTGAGATCCGTGTACGACGTGAGACTCAAATGTGACATCTGGTCCCTGATGAACGAATAATTGAAAGTATGGGATATTCAGAATAATCAAATATCTGAATGAATACATAATCGATATTTGTTGAGACAACGGGTGGTCCTTACATACTGAATATAATATTACATACATTATAATATATTGTCACATATTTTTAATATATGAAAAGTGGCAGTTCCTTATGTATTATTCAATATAATGTAATATATTAACACAATATATTATACTCTATATTTTCGATATACTGTTAAATCATTTAATATATTGACCATTCATATATAAGGAAATATATTTTCTTTGCATAAGGGAATATATTGATCATAAATATATGGAAATATATTTTGGTTCCATAAGGGCTGTGCTGGAGCTCATCCTTTCCTCATTCAATGGAGTGAATTTGAGCTTCTTACAGTTTCATGTTAGATATTCCACTCTTATTTTTTTCTTTTGTTTACACTTCAGTTTACATTCAGTTTTAAAGTGAAATTTTGTGACTGCAGCTCAGATCAAGTGAAAAGTATATTGTATGAGATGATATACAAACTACACAATCACTAAATACACTATAATGAAATTACCAAAAGCAAATGATTAAAAAACACCTTTGCTGAAGGAACAATGACATTTTACCTTGCTTCTGTGTCTAATGCAGTTTGCCATTGTCCAATGTGGTTTAATTGGCCGTAATAGGGTCTAATATGATTTCATGCTGGTCTGTTGAGGTTTGATGGGTTCTGAAGTGGTCTAATATGTTCAGAGTTTTTGATGTTGAGTTATGTTGCATTTTTGAAGACCTGTATGATTTTATGCTGTCTGTGTGACAGAAAAACTTTCAAACTTAAATATTAAACTTAAAAACACATTAAAACGGGGCTTCGTCAAGTCAACGTCAAAGTATATCACAATAAACTTAATCTATTTGTATTGTGTTATTAGTGTTTGTTCACTGATCAGTGTTGTGTGGAGTTCCAGTGTTAAGGCTCGTTGCATAATATATGAGGAGTTTAGGAGCTTGTCCAGGTTTCTGTAAATACCAGGCTAAACGATCACCACTATACACTGAACTGCTGGTTTTACAGTTTATTCTGACTTCTTGTCCTGGTTGAGCTGCTGTTATTGATGGACTCTGAGTTACAGTGATCTGTCCTCTACACTCTGAAAGAAAGGAACAAAGAATAAAATTATGAAATTGTATATGATTAATATTTTACACTTCAGTGAATGAATAATCATTGTTAAAATTTTACTACACAAACCTCGAGGAAACAGTGTGAGAGTCCAGATGAGGATGATGATGTTGTTCATTGTTGTTGTTGTGTCTTGTGTGATGATGAAGATTGTGTTCTGTTCTGCTCTCAGTCATGAAGTGTTAAACTCACAGCACTATAAACACTCTCAGAGCACTGAAGCATGTGCTGACAATGCAAAGAAGTGGGCAGGATTTACAACAGCTTGAGCTGCTACAACTAATACTGTAATGTTTTACTCTCACAGTAATGGCTTTAAACCATTTACTGATAATTGCATTGATTAATTGTAAAATATTTATTTTGTTCATTTATTGTTGCACTGGCGGATGTGACACTAGTCTTGGACTTTATATTGACATCTATCAGCGTGGATGCAACATTTTCAGTTTCCAGTGCCACTCTAATAACATATTCACTTATTCTAGTCATTCATGATGTATTCATTTATTAAGTGAAAGTGTCTGATAATAGAGGTGTTACCAAGAAATAGTTAATAGTATTCAGCTGCATTTAGATTAAAAGAGTAAAAGTCCACTGTGTTCTTTTTAATGTTGAATCAGTGTTGACATGTCGCTACATGGGATTTTTTCATGTGACCTTTTTTTTTTCTTCTACTTGTATAAATATCGTCAGGACTCACAATTGTGTCAAATGAGTCTAGACTGAAAAAATGTAAATCTGAAAAATGTATTTTTCTGAAGCTGCAGGGTTTTTTTCTGTGAATCATAATTATTGAGCTTCATATGAACAACATATGCATCATTAAGAGAAACTCCACAACATCATCCATGATAAAAGAGGTCAAAGGTCATCAAATTTATTTCCTTAAAAAGTGTTATTGGCACACAATGAAACAATGAATGAGAAATATAGGACATAAAGTCAAACTGAATCATGACTACTGTAAATGAGATGAATAAACTCTTCAACTGATAATGAAAAGAATGACATTGTCAGCAGCTGAGCTTCTTCTGCTCTCAGTGTGTTGAAGTGTTGTTTCTCTCTCTCTGCTGGAGTTTGTGTTCACTCGAGTGGAATAGAGGTTTTTGTACGAGCCTTTCATTAGATTGTATCACTGTGGTGGACTTTCGGTGGAGGAACTAAACTGGTGCTCGGTAAGTCTGTCTCTTTTAAATCTCCATTAAAACATACAATTTTGATTTAAAAAAATTTAACAAAAAAAATAATAATTTTACAATAAATATTTAATTTAAAATATTGTCACTTTTAGATATTCAGAAAAAAACGGAATTATTCACTTTTTTGCAACGTGGCTAACTGAGTTTTATCAGTTTATCACAGGTTTTTATTTTCTTTCATTAATTTCTACACTGTGTTCATTGTAGATATCAGATATGAAAAAAAATTGATTTGCAGTTAAAATATAAATGGAGCTACTTTCTGTAGATACTGTAGATCAATGATTTTGAATATCTTTTGCTCATTTTGTGCTCATAATTTTGTTTTAATACAAGCATAATTTATGCAATATATATGTACATACATAATTAAATTCAGTTGATTACGCTTCTAATTCCAAACAGTGATATCATTTGTAGTCACACAATCTCTGTTTGAAATTAAGTTACATTTTGAGTTGAAAATCTCACCTAACTAAAATGTAAAGACTTCATTTAGGGACATAAAAGCTCTATTCTGAGAGGATCACAATCACTCCACCCTCACAATGCAAATGGGATTTTCAGCCCACACTCCCAGTGTCTCTGTTTGATTGGTTACATGATCTGAACTGAAACAGACCAGTTTCACTTCTGCTGTAGTCAAGCAGCACACAGAAAAACTCACCATTACAGTTATAGGAAATTGTGAAAACATATATGAAACTTTAATGAAATCAAAAACCCAAGTTCACAAATCAAGAATCAGCCATTCCGACACAAATTGTGTAAGAATGTAAATCTTTCTGTGGGTCAAATGGAAAGCATCACGTCCAGACAGCAGACGTGACTGAATGCAGTCTGTTCAGTTTGATTGACAGGGATCATATATTACACCTAAAACATGATGATCATATTAAAACACTGACTCATTCTCTTCAGAAATACATGATTGATGTTGATTATAATGTAATTGTGTTATTAGTGTTTGTGATATGATCAGTGTTGTGTGTGATTTTGTTTGATATGAGCAGCTGCAGATTCTCTCAGCTGTATCAGTGCAGTCACTGTGACTCTGACTGACGGAGGTTTTTGTACGACTCTTTATCACTGTGTGAACACCCAGTTATTGTTTATATAGTTTATAGCCATACAGTAATAACCTCCTGTGTCTTCAGTCTGGACTCCACTGATGGTCAGAGTGAAATCAGTTCCATGATCAGCTCCACTGCCACTGAATCTTGATGGAGTTCCAGTATGAAGGGTTTTGATGCTGTGAACTAAAAGTTTAGGAGTTTCTCCAGATTTCTGTAGGTACCAGGAAACACAAGACTTACAGTCACCGTCTGACTGGCGTCCAATGGAGCTGCTGGTTTTACAGGTCAGAGTGACTGTTTGTCCGTTCTGAACATGTTTCTCTGTTGGAGTCTGAATTACAGTCACCTGTCCCGCAGAATCTGAACAGTTAAAAGACATTTAAACATATGAACTGGAAAAAAAGAGATGTTTTATAAAAATATTGCAAAGAAGCTAATAAAATAAAATAATGCATTACCTTGAAGATACATCCCTAAGATTAAGAAGATGATGAATGTCATTGTAGTTGTTATTATGATAAACAGTGTCAGTCATGAAGTGTTAAACTCACAGGACTATAAACTCTCAGAGCACTGAAGCATGTGCTGACAATGCAAAGTGATTTTCACAATTTAAATAATTTCCCTGAAAACTGTTGATCACTCTCAAAGACATTTAAAAGACAATTTCTCACACCACAGTGTTTCATCTACAGCATTTACTGAGACATTGCAGATGACTGAATGTGTCATGTTACAATTTATAACTAAATTAAATTGACAGATTTATGAGGGATGGCATTAAATTCCTCACTAAAAGTGATGTGAATGTGAATTTTAACTCAATGACTCTAGGAAAATAGGAGGGATATGTTTAAATTGATGAGTTTCATGAAGTCAATAAATCTCCACTGCTGGACCAAACACTTTGGGAGGAGCCTAATCATTCAGTGCTGTCAATCATCATTACAAGTCTAAGCAGCAGTCATTGTGCCGTCCCAGCAACAATTCTTCCGGCAGAATGATTCTATAAATCATGTTTATGACAGGCATACATTTTTTGCGTTGAGCCCACAAGAAGATATTTAATGATACTATTAAACCACTGTATGAATATTTATATGTTGATGTCACAAGGGCTTTGTGCAATTAATGATTTAAGGAAAATAATATAAAAAATGTGATTTAATAATAATTTGAGATCTTTATTTCAGACCGTAGTAAATCAGCAAGCAAAAGCAGTGCTACCACATGTTTCTTGGACATGCGTGCATGCACGAGTGGGCTGTGTGCAGTATAAAAACAGTATAAAAGGATATGAACAGTATAAAAAATATACTCAAGTAAAAGTACCATTACATTCCAAAAAATGTAGTGTGAGTAGAGTAAAAAGTACTTGTCCAAAAAGCTACTTGAGTAAGAGTAAAAGAGTAGCTAATTTAAAAGTACTCACGAGTAGTGAGTACGAGCTGTGGATTCTACCTCCTTATAATAAATACTCTACACTGCAATTTAAACATTTAGTAAACATTGTACATATACTTGTTCTGAACATGTTTCTCTGTTGGAGTCTGAATTACAGTCACCTGTCCCGCAGAATCTGAACAGTTAAAAGACATTTAAACATATGAACTGGAAAAAAAGAGATGTTTTATAAAAATATTGCAAAGAAGCTAATAAAATAAAATAATGCATTACCTTGAAGATACATCCCTAAGATTAAGAAGATGATGAATGTCATTGTAGTTGTTATTATGATAAACAGTGTCAGTCATGAAGTGTTAAACTCACAGGACTATAAACTCTCAGAGCACTGAAGCATGTGCTGACAATGCAAAGTGATTTTCATAATTTAAATAATTTCCCTGAAAACTGTTGATCACTCTCAAAGACATTTAAAAGACAATTTCTCACACCACAGTGTTTCATCTACAGCATTTACTGAGACATTGCAGATGACTGAATGTGTCATGTTACAATTTATAACTAAATTAAATTGACAGATTTATGAGGGATGGCATTAAATTCCTCACTAAAAGTGATGTGAATGTGAATTTTAACTCAATGACTCTAGGAAAATAGGAGGGATATGTTTAAATTGATGAGTTTCATGAAGTCAATTAATCTCCACTGCTGGACCAAACACTTTGGGAGGAGCCTAATCATTCAGTGCTGTCAATCATCATTACAAGTCTAAGCAGCAGTCATTGTGCCGTCCCAGCAACAATTCTTCCGGCAGAATGATTCTATAAATCATGTTTATGACAGGCATACATTTTTTGCGTTGAGCCCACAAGAAGATATTTAATGATACTATTAAACCACTGTATGAATATTTATATGTTGATGTCACAAGGGCTTTGTGCAATTAATGATTTAAGGAAAATAATATAAAAAATGTGATTTAATAATAATTTGAGATCTTTATTTCAGACCGTAGTAAATCAGCAAGCAAAAGCAGTGCTACCACATGTTTCTTGGACATGCGTGCATGCACGAGTGGGCTGTGTGCAGTATAAAAACAGTATAAAAAATATACTCAAGTAAAAGTACCATTACATTCCAAAAAATGTAGTGTGAGTAGAGTAAAAAGTACTTGTCCAAAAAGCTACTTGAGTAAGAGTAAAAGAGTAGCTAATTTAAAAGTACTCACGAGTAGTGAGTACGAGCTGTGGATTCTACCTCCTTATAATAAATACTCTACACTGCAATTTAAACATTTAGTAAACATTGTACATATACTTTAATTCAAATTATATTTGTGCTTGTTTAAGAATATTTAAGAATATCTATCATTCAACATTTTTAATTTTGACTGCCAATTGTTTAAAATATACATCAAACCAACAGGAAAAACCATGGTTAATTTTCTTAAGTTGTAAAAGTAAGTAAACCAGCTTACATAACGCTTCACAGTTACAGTAATTGTGTATTTCGTCAGCTTATTTAGGCTAATAATTTCCCCCCCAAAAAAAGGGGGAAGCAAAGGAAGCGTATGATCAGGATGTTATAATAAACAAAAATCTCACCTTTCAGAGCAAACTTTGATAAATATGTCCCAGCCATGTTCGTCACTTTGGACCCGAAATGCCGCAACTTTTATATTTTCTTGTGTTTTTGCAAGAGCAGTGATTTCTCCCCCTATTATTATTAATATTATTATTATTATTTTACATTACTGCAGCAGCAGCGATTTCTCAATCGGCTCTGACCGTCTTGTTTGTTAGCCCCTCACCCACCTTATATTTCCCCAAAAAACGCAGCAAAGTTGAAATGTATTCTGCACATTCTTGGGGGGTGAAGGATTGAATCTATTAAAATGTTTTCTACTTGTATCACCAAACTACTCAAAGTTGATTTCCCTGCTTGCTGTCCTTTGTAAACAAATTTTGGGGGGTTAAACTCGGAGCTCAATTTAAGCCTCGGGTCTGAGACTGTCGAGGACAGCAAGCCAAGCTTGTCTAACTTAAGTCAGGATGGGCAGGCAAACTCAAGAAATTAAGTTCCAAACGTAGATTCGGGAGGAGCCTAATCATTCAGTCCAGTCTATCATCATTATGAGACTATATACTGTAAGCAGCAGTCATTGCGCTGTCCCAGCGCAACTTTTTCCAGCATCCCTCCAGCTCCCCATCTCCTCCTCTGTTTCTGTTATTTTCTCTCTATGTAGTATACTCTTAAAAATAAAGGTGCTTCACGATGCCATAGAAGAACCTTTTTGTCTAAATGGTTCCATAAAGAACCTTTAACATCTGAAGAACCTTTCTGTTTCACAAAAGGTTCTTTGTGGCGAAAGAAGGTTCTTCAGATTATAAAAAGGTAAGAAAGAGATGGTTCTTTAAAGAACCTTTGACTGAATGGTTCTTTGTGGAACCAAAAATGGTTCTTCTATGGCATCGCTTGAAGCACCTTTATTTTTAAGAGTGTACCGCAATGAAGGGGTTGAACTCAGAGCTCAAGCCGAGCCTTGGGTTCGAGCCTCCTTCAAGGACAGCAAGCCAAGTTTATTTACCATTAACTGTTAAGACTAAATGGGAAGGTGAACTTGTAAAACAATAATCCAGATGCTTTCTGTTATGATTGTTTCATGTCCATTTCAGATCATTTTCTTGCTGCATGATCCAGCTGTGCTTCAGCTTTAGTTTTCTGATGCAGAGCAGAATTCATAGTTCCTTCAGTGAATGCAGGACGTCCAGGTCCTGATGCTTTAAAACATCCCCAAATCATCACACTACCAAATGTGATCAACTGTTGATATGAGGTGATTCTCAGGGCCGCATTAAGACTGCACTGGGCCCCGGGGCTATGACTTA